CAATTTCTTGAACTGAGGTTTTCAACACTGGTCTACTCAAGTCAATCGGTTCACTAATGACAAAGTTATTCAATATTTACATCCCGGCATAAAATATGGCGCACCCTGTATAATTATAGCACAAAAACATCTCAAAACATTTTTTAAAAAATCGATCAGACAGACATAGCACAAAAATGGTGTCAAGAAACTAATGATTTCTACTTAAGATTAATATTGTTGATCATATTTAATTAAATTGAACATTTTGTATGACAATTTTTGCCTGTCCGATAAATAAATAAATCGGTTTGGCATGAATCCAAATTGAGAAACCAAGCAATGTTCTATTGATTGATCACATATCCTAGTAAAAACAACCTATTACTAACGGCTGACGAATTATATATTTTTAAATTGCCGCGTAACTCGTTTTAATTTACTCGAAAGAATAGTTGCCTGTTTATTGAAATTCGATTAATAATATGTTACCGAAATCATTGGCGCCTTCAGCCGGTCGTAGCGACTTGCGATTTGTGATTTTTGATTATCGATTGTTGATTTGCCTCTACCGACCGCTTGTGGTGACTGTTTTAATAAAATATTCTGATTTTACTATTTTTGGTCAAAAAGGACTCGACCAAATGCTGACTATGTATTGTCAAAATCGAAAAAAATTAAAATTTTGATTAAATATGGCACGATTCGTTTAAATAATAATTTGTGGTCGGGACAGTTTGCCAGTCCGTCACGCTTTTTTATACGCAAAATCGACAGCAAACTCCGATGTACATACATACTTGTATGTATGTATGTATGTACCCCTGAGGAAGGTAGAAAATAGAGATGGGCACGGGCCGGCTGTTTTCGGCCCGACACGACACGGCCACGAAATTAACTTTTAGAAACACGCACGACGAAAATTTTTCTTAACACGGCCCAACACGAACTTTTTATATATTATATATAAAAATTAAAAAAAAAAAAAATATATATATATATATATATATATATATATATATATATATATATATATATAAACATTACAAATTTTTATTCAGAAAGATTATCTTATCAATATTTGAGCTAAGAAGCCGAGTACGTCGCTCATTTAAAATATGTCCAGAAGTGGAAAAAACTCGTTCGCTTGTTGCAGAACTGACAGGGATATTGAGTATATGCCTTGATAATTGCCTTAGCATTTTAAATTTTGTTGCTTTTTTAGCACACAAATTCCTGGATCAACAACACTACTTATATAATCATCTATTTCAATATCCATTCTTGACCTGTCCAATTTAATTTTTTTTTTGAATTATTAGTGTCCAAAAATCCAGAAAAGTCGTGTTGACTATTGGGTGCTTCGTTTTCTGATTCAAGTGTTAAATCGTTATTTAAGCTATCATTTATTTCAGCTAGCATCGATTAGTGTTCTTTCGTGTTTCCTCGTGCGTGTTTTGTCGTGCCTTTTTGGCTCAACACGAACACGCACGGCCACGCACGAAATCGGAATTTACAACACGAACACGCGGGCCCACGCGTGGCACGAAGTGCCACGACAAAAAACACGGCCCGTGCCCAACTCTACTAGAAAATACCGATTGTACACATACATATCTACATATGTATATTTACTTAAGTTAATGGTATGCAGATTCTTCTAAATAGACTGCATTCGCTTTTTCTAGAGCAGCGAATGCAGCAAGGTTTAATCATGGCTTCAACGAAGCTACCTTTGAAATTATACGATGGCAATAAATCACAAATGTGTTGGCCAATTTCCACACGTCGAATGGGTGTTTCGCACTTAGTACCCATGTCCCGTTGTCCATTTGTCCCAGGTCGGCTGTCAAACATAATCACCTTATGCCGCAACTGCCCGCCCGAACTTTTTTGCCACGTCTGTGTCCGAATAAACGAATCTATTCTCAAAGGAAATTTATGTTTTCTTCTTTCAATTTTTTTTTTTTTTTTTTTGGTGGATGTGCGTATTTGTAAAAATTATTTTTGCTGCGTTCTTGTGTCATTCGGATTGTCTGTAGTTTTTTTTTAACATTTTCTAGAAATTTTGTAATTTCAACACGTTACAGGGACCAGCGGCCAAGGGCTTTGCCAAAAAGTTTGGGAAACTGAAAATGCTGTCGACATACGAATATTCGCCAGTGTCCACATCTCGGACACAAATGATAAATGTGCCTCACAGCTGTCTGCTCAACAACAGCAAATAATAAATTGTTTTTGTTGCCACTGCGGCTGCTGTTGTTGTTTCTTTTTTGCGAACAAACAAAAAAGGCGAGAGAGGGCGCAGACAGGGAGATGGAAAGATGCTAGAAAGATGGAAAACGCCTTGTCACCATATGTGGGGAAGATTGTATTGAATATTCGGCAGAAACGTGTGTAAAATTTTGAAACTCCGAAACCGGTTGCATCACAATAACTTTCAAAGCTTTCCCATAACTGCCATAAATAGATTTTTCATCAAAAATTATTGGCAAAGTTGCTGCGTTTATAAAAAATAAATGCAATGTTTCTCTAGCGCTTCTATTTTTTTAATTATGAAGATGAGATTATAATTGTGAAGAACCTATCCAACCAGCTGTTGCAACATTTGTATTGTTTTATTTTCGCTTGAAACTGGTTTTTGTTTTGTGATTTTATTAAACAAATTGTGTTTAACAATTCAGCGATTAAATTAGGCTTATATATGTAGCTTCACTCAAGACATCAAAATTCACATAATTTTGCAATATAATTAAGCAATATGCAAAATGAATGTATATTGAACAAACATATTAATTAGCAAATTAGTGTGCTGGGTGGCGCCGATGGGATCAAATTATATAATACAACTTATGACGTTATTCAAGTTGTGGGAATAACAGCATTCTTAGAATTTAGATTATATATTTTGACCAAAAACAAGCCGAGTTCCAACAGAAGGTCCACGAATTGAGAATAAAATACATAACCACAAGTTGTTTATTTTGAAAAATAAGCAAATAAGTTATTCGATTTATAAAATGGTCTTCTAAATAAATTAAAATAGTAAATTTTAAAGAAAGTTTCAAAAACACAATCCTGCATTTAAACACTTTTTAATGGACCATTTTGGCATTTATAGTATGTATTTATGGCTCTTCATATGCGCCTTGGGATAAACACGTATTTTACTTGTGTTTTCAAAATTAAATGCTCTAATCCCTAGATTAAAGAAGTCATAAATCCATCGTGTTTGATTTATCAACGCTCTATTGTTAAAGCCCTGAAAATAAGAATTTGTAAATATTGTCCTGCAACACTACTATTTGCTGCTAAAATATTCCCAATAAGTTAAGGGCAAAACATATAATGTGTGGCTTTTATTAATTTCTTATTAGTTATTACGCCAATATCATAGTCTGATAAAAGTTTGGCATCTAAATTAATCTAACAAAGTACAATAATATCTAAAAATGAGGTCAGAGATGTTATCCACCTTTATGGTGGAGTTACCTAAGAAATAGTACATAGAAGAAAATGAAAAACTTAATTATCTATTTAGATTGCTCAGGGAGCTAAGAGAAAAAATCTCCAGCCCTGTAGAAATCAATTTCATCGAAAGTCTAACAAGCTATACCCCGACTCATAGAAAACCCCGACTATAGAAAACCGTTTAAATACAGTAGACAGAGAAAGTTCTATTGAGAGTAAATGAGAAATATCTTTATAATTAAGACCCTCCAGCGGATTTTGAATGAATGAGATTGAAAAGGCAATGCCCGACATAACTAGCGCTTAAACAGTATTTATTGATGTAAAGGATGTTTGTTGTTGTATGTTTAATAAATCCAAGAACACCCCTATCCCTGTTTACAGTACTACAGAGGTGAAGGCTTATGTTCAGATTTGGAATCAAAAAGTATCCCAAGATCTTCGTTTGTCGATGGCACATTATCAGTCGTACAAGTGACTAAATAATATACATACACTTGCCTTTACAGCTGGATGCTAAGTTTTCTGGTTATTAATTAAGAAATTTGAATAACTCTTTGTGAACTAAAATAAACGTGACGTCAAACATGAAAATTTGTTCATTCAAGCGTAAACAAATAAAAACAAATGATTGCAGCAGGGGTCTGAGTCATCAAGAATAATTAATTTAAAGGTATAATGTGTTTACTTATGAACGACTAGAAATAACACACTAGCTCATCCATAAAGCTTGAACAGTGAGCAGCCTCGAACTTCATTTACAAAGAGTTAAGGCGGTCGTTGCTCCAAACGTCAAGAAAAATGTTCGTCAAGAAACACGTCAATACGAAAATACGCGAAAACAACAGCCAAGGCAGAAAACAAAGCAACTCAGCTGGTTGGCCAAAAATACGACGACTGCCTGAAGCTACGAAGCGTCACTTAACCGACTTTGAAAGAAGCGTTGAAAAATTACTTTAGCAGATAAATAAAAAGAAAGTAAGTAGAGATTGTTTCTCTTTATACATAACAAATTGACAACAACAAAATTTATCGCACAGCTACTACTCCAAGAACACCTCTCGTGTATGAAGAAGCTTGAAGAAGCCATTAAATAAATACGACTTTACGAAGGCCTGCACAGAAGTACATACAAAAAAAAAAAAGAAAAAACTTCAATTGATTCTGCTTTCGAGCTTGTTTTGCCTGTTTTTATTATTATCACTTATTTGTGCTTCCCAAAAAATTCAAATTAAAACAAGATATGTGATGATAAAAAAAATCCCGCTCCAAAATACATAGTAAACGTGTGAGGGAGAAATTATTTCAGAATAGAAGTTGATCAGCCTAGTCATATTTCCATGGCAGTTTAGTGTGCTAATGGAGAGCTGAGCTTTCTTGATTCAATAAAATTCTCTGTTTGTCTCTTTTCGCTTCTGTCTCTCATCTTCTCATCTTCTCGTTGTCTGCTTTGTATATTCTTCCTCTTATTCGCACTGCGTCAACGCTAAATTTCCATATAAAAGCCTCAACCATCGACACCGAAAGTTTAGTCGTTTTTAAACTTTGCGTGTTGCCGGCAGTCGAGTTCGTTGCCTAAATCTTTCGTTGTGTGAGTGTGCGATCCCCCTCCCGTTCGATTTCACCAACACATATACACATACTATATAGCTATTGTTGGCTTTCAAAATTGCAGATCTTTGTGTCAAAAGTTGAAAATATGAAATACACTTTGTTCGCTGCCTGCCTTCTGGCCACTCTCTGCGCTGGCGTTTTTGCCTCTTCCGGTAAGTTGGCCATTTAACAATCATCTGTACAGCGTGTGCGTCACAAGCGAATACGCCGATGTTACTTACTGATTAGAGCTTAAAACTTGTTATTACATCATCGTCTTAAACAAACAATTTCTTAGTTAGAACAACAAAGAAATGTTAATGTTTTCATTGTCTCTATTAATATCTGAGTTTTTGAAGAAAAAAAATAGTAAATTGTGTATGTATATAGTTTTCAATGAAGTTTAAATAGTTAATTAACAATAATTTCATATGATGAGTACATATAGTATATGCAGCTCCTACCTCTATTAAGATTTTATTGTTAGCTTTATGGCGATTGCCAAAATTTGTAAATTTCCACAATCGAAAATAACAGGTCTAGGTATAGAAGCTTAGTTGGCGATTTAAAGCAAAACTTGTTGGGTTCCAAAATACATTTGCTATTTAATGAATGCTAAAAACAAAATAACACCTTGCTGGTAAATATTTACGAGTATAACGAATAGAATAATATAACTGGTATATAATGCGTTGTATACATTTCTTGGATGGCCTATTCGGCGGCCGAATTTTATTTAAATATCGCCTAATCGTAATAAACAAATTTTAAAATCGAAAAAAAAATGGTTCTCCCGGGCATCACATTTTATAGAAAGGGCAATCGAAAAACGAAATCTGTTAAGGACATTTACCAATTTCGATACAATTCGATGGAACTTGGAAACAGAAAGAGGCGCGATTATAAATATTATTTTATGTTTTCACAAGTCACGTAATTAATGTGGATGCTCAAAATTAGAGGAATTGGTTGTTAGACCAATTGGCATTTGGGAAAAGTTTCCATCAATGATACGAGTATTTCTTATATCGTTAACGCTGTTTAAAAATGGATATGATTTGGATATTGATTTCTTAAAATGCTTAAAAACTGCAAGTATTTTTCATTGGAAAAATGTTCACAGCTTTAGATGTGTAAATATTTTCAAATACTTGTACAGTTCCCATTTCGAAGCTTTTCGTGTTGCGGAATCATAAAATCATATTGTTTATCCACGTCATTAGAAATCGGAAAGAGCTTCAATAAGAATTTCTAATTTGTGAAATCTGCTCTAACCATTTCAGATGCTGGCCAATTCGTGCCGCGAGCTTTCTTCACACTGGACTCTGAGGGTCATCAGTCGAGAGTGCATCCAGTGAGCGCCCATTTGCTGCGCCGTCTGCGTCGTGATGTCGGATACTCCTCATCATCGTCATCGTCTTCATCGTCCAGCTCATCATCGGATGGAAAAGTGCATTTCACTAGCCAGCACGTCCATTACAATTCACAGGGTCTTGACCAGCCTACTAGTGTAGAGTAAGTGTTGTACTTTCAATTTATTGAATAAAATGATAGCAACATTTTTTTCATTAATAGCTCCCGCTTTGGTGGCACCTCCTCGACATATGGATCGAGCAGGAGACCTGTGGCCCAGGTGGTACAGCAAAGCGGTGTGGCTGATTCTACTGGCGTACATGTGCTTACCACTCAGGGTAAACTGGATAATACAGGAAAATACACCGTCACCTCGCAGCAGTCTCATCTCTAGTTAAGTAAATATATAAGCAGTAGTTTACAATTTAAATAAAATTTCGATAGTGCCTGTTGAAAAGCAATAAAAGTAAAGCCAACTCATACTCGTAACAAGATCGAGAACGGGTCAATTAATTCTGCATCAGAAGTGCAATTCATTTCGGTTGCGAGACACTTTAGATGATTGCTTGCCACACACACGCACACACACATACACACGCTCCTGTTGTGCCTCGCGTTTAATTTCGCAAAAAGTGCACCACAAACTCCGCTGAGCACGAACAATGCTAAGTGGGTGGTGGTGGGCGTTGGCAGCAGCCCTGGTGTTTGAGCTGTGCCTGCAGCAGTGTTGGTAAATGCTTTTACAATATTAGTTTACCCAAGCGGAATTGATGGCTTTGAAGTGTGGGTGTCAGCCACAACTCACCACAGCACACCACCACACACACATACAAACGTGGTGGTGAACAGTTTAAGCCTTCGCATTTTAGCCAGTGCTGCCAATTTAGCTATTTTCCCGCCAACTCGGAGGATTTCAAATGCCGATTGCGGATGAAAATTGAATATTACGGCTGTCGAAATTGTTAGCACTTTGTAGGTTTTGGTAATTACTAAACTAAACTCTATACAAATAAATATTAATTGAAAACTGATCCAGCTGCCAACTATTTATTTTTCATCTTGCCGTATACAGTGATAACTCTCTTGGCCGAACACTCACGTTCGGCCAATTTTTGTCCGTTGAAGGGGAGTGTCCCTTAAGAGGATACTTAAATAATTTATACACCGATCGAATGTTCTGGAAAAAGTGTTCTCCGCAGAGTGTCCGCATAAAAGATGTGTCCGTTAAGGGAGTTTTCACTGTACATAAGTTTACATAAATGCCAATGAATGAATCAGAAGCAGAAGTCTTTATTGGTTCTAAATTTCGAATCTAAATACATAAATATATTTCAATATTTAGGGTCATGGAATAATGTTGTACCAATATAAAAGAAGTTCCTCAAAAGTAGCTAATAGACTGTTTTCACACCAATATAAAGGAAACACTTTAAATCAAATTTTGTTGGTATTTACAATTCAAGAACTTTCTCTATAATACGACAAATTAGTCTGCAAATTTTTTGCATCTTTTAACATGTCTTTTTTTTTTAGCGGGAACGACAACACAGATTATCTTTTTCTCATTAGCTCTCTGGCTATATTTTTTTCATTTCTGGCCTTTCTAAATAGTAAGAACTGGCAGCACTGTTGTTAACGGTGATTAAAAGTAGTGCACTCGGCTGATGATGACAAACTATGCCAAGCATCTTAATAAGTACACATTTGCATACATACAGACACACACGCACGTGCTTGCATGTGTTTGTAAAGCAGCTGGAGCGGATCGAGTTAGTGGGCTTAGACAAGATATGAATATGTTATTTGCTTGGGGAATTGGCCAAATCTCAACAGGTATACGCACTTTGGATCTGTATGCAAAGCTAGCTGGATGTTATGGAAAGTCAAAAACAGGCCCAAGCAACCACACACACACACGTACACACGTGCAACCACACCAGCCCATATGTCCCCACACCAGTAACAACAACAACAACAACACGCAAATGTTGAAAACTTTTCACAACTTCACGCTGCTGGTGGTGGTGTGCGCTTCGACTTGCCACTTGGCACTTGGCGCACGGTTTCTCAAAAGTTTTAATTATTATAATTAATTACTTTGATCTCTGCTCCCGCAACTGTTTCGGCTGCTCCGTTGACGTTGTCTGCGTGCATGCGCGGCTATTAATTTGCTTGATTATGTTGAGGTTTAATTCGTTTAGATGCGTTCTGGTTTGGCTTTCCGTTGCTGCTCCTGTAGTTGGCTTCTATTAAAATTTATTCCACGCAACTCTTACAGTGTAATGAATTTATGCGGCGCAGCATTAAATCAAACCCGAGAAATGCCACCATCTATTCGGTCTTAAAAAGGAGTTGTCTGTCACATATTTTTAAATTAAATACATACTTGTATGCATGTGTGGCAGCAATTTAAATGAAATGCTTGTGTGCCTAGCGGTCTTAAAGAATACAATTTTATACACATAACGGTTGTTTAAATAAAGGTGACTATTTATCGATAATCGATAAATATGTATTTACTCATCAATTACTTTTCAAAGTAGTCCTTCTCAGATATAATGTCCAGCACTTTTTTCCAATTCTTAAAGCACTTCTGGTGCGACGTCTTCTATCAAGACGGTCTTTATTTCCTCTATTTTGGCAAACCATCCTTTCAAGTCCGGTTCAATGACGGTGGCTAAAGTGTGATGGTGGTACAATATCTACGACTGGTTGTTTCAGTATTCCTCATTAGCCTTGCGACATTGTAAGAAGAAACGATGCACCACCATTGTAATCGGAATGACGCTATTTGTTCGATCTTTGCTCATCTGAGCGCTTCCATTGGGATGATTGGGTTTTGCGACATTATTTGTCGAAATAATTGCCTGAATGAGCCAATTGATATTCCGACATCCTCAGCAATTTCTCTAATAGTGAATCGACTATTCTAACGAAAATTTTAATTTAATTTATATGTACATAATTAATTCTCTACTTCTATTCCAAATTTAATACAAGTCGCAACTGAAAAAACAGTAATAATGTCGCACACAAAACTACATCTAAATGCATATATGTTGAAAAATAATACCAACACATGTACCTTGGGCAACAAAAAAGAAGACTGAAAATCGATATATTTCCACTCACATTTTTTTGAACATCTTGATATTTTCACAATCGAGAATACAATCTCTTATTGCACAAAAAAAAAATCCGTTAATAAAAAGGACCACAATATTATGGAAGCTCTATATTTTCAATATTATATTAAACAAGACTCATACATACCAGACCTGTTTAAGATATTCATATTTTTCGGCATAAGCTTTGACAAAATTCCAAACTTGTTGCTATGCTGAAGAAATCACGAAATATACATAGACGACGATTAACAATAATATCCTAATAATCGCTTAGTTCTTGTAGAATCGATTAATCGTATGATATAATTGAGATGGCAATAAAATTATATATTATTCAGCTAACTATTTATCGAATTTGTTTTAGAGAAAATCATAATTTAAAATTTTAATTTAAAAGGTATTTCAGTATTTTGTAAATAATGTAAATAAATTCAAAATTAACTGATAATCAAAAATACAACAATGTAACCGATAGTCTTAAGAAACACATTGTATCGATACAATGGGGACACTTCATTTAGAGTGGCCGGAGAGTAAAGAACATAGTCGGTTATTACTGTTTTTACAATTTTGAATCTCCAACTCAAACAAGTGTTAGGCAAATAAAAATTCAGTAGTGGACAAGTATTAAAGACATCGATGTTTAAAAAAAATGTCATAACATCGATGCATCGATGTTTCGTCCAGCACTAATTTTAACCCTTCGCAGAAAGTATGGAACTCAAAGAATCGAGATTTTTTTGTTTCGTCCATTCATAAAACATACAAATTTGAAACTAAACCGATTCGACAAAAATAAAGCAAAAATAGCAATGCCGATACGTCAGCTTCTATGGCTGCTTACGGTCGTATTGCCATGGACATCGTCGGAAACCGTATATATGGAGCCGGGCGATTCCATTGACGTGAAGGCAATTGCCTTCGAAGACAAAACGCTACGGATCTTTTGCTACAAGGGAAATCGATTTTCAATGCTGAGACTGTTTGAGACTTTGGATTTGGAATTGGAAATTGATAAAAATGAGTTCGTGGAATATGGAGGACGCACAGAAGACGAGGTTTTGGACAATTACAAAAAGAAGTTGCCCCAGATCAGGCTTACTCTTTTAAAGAAGCGCAAAAGCGTACAGCTTTCACCGTTCGAACAAAGTTGTGTTGCGTTGGTCACCAAGGAACCGTATAGGATCGCCCTGAAACAGGTTCGACTGGATATGGGGCGAGTCGCAAAATTCGTATTGGGTATCAGCATTTTCCGCAATGCCCACAAGCTCTCTAGAAACAGTTCCTTTTATTATCTGGCCACGATCGTCCTCAACTCTTGTACTGTCGCGTTTTTGTCCCTTGTTCGTACAGTCGTGCTGCTTCCAATGTAAGTTTTTAGTGAAATTTATCGGCCCTATTCTGTAATAGAATGTAAGAAAATTTCCTGCAGGTGTCCCGTAAAGTTCGTGAAACGTGCGAGTCTTTGGTTATTTAGTTTTTATTTTGTCACGCACTATTTTAATAATATGCGTTTCATCATATTAATTATATTTATCGGTATCATGTCAATTCTACGCACTTCTCAGTATCGACCGGTCCGGAAGCCAGCCTTGCTATTTATTATCAAGTTTCTGCTGCACGCCGCCGCAGGAACACTTGTCTGCTCCAGCACTTGGCACTCCATTGTCGCCATAAAATCGTTTTTCCATTCCATTTAAAAAATCTTAGTTGCTGTGTTACCACCGATTTCCAACAAAAGGACAGGTATTCAACGAAACAAAATAGGACGACACATATCACCAATCAGCGGGACTACAAAGATGAGGATTCGAAATGGACCAAAGAGCTTTTGTTTTTATTACTTTAAAATTTTAAATATTGCATCTACCACAATGTGCGTGTGTATAAAAAAAAATAAAAAATAAATATGTACATATTTGGAAATCGATGTAATGGCTTTTTGCCTCAATACACTTCAGAATGGTCCGCAAATTACATACATATGCATAAGTATGTTAGTAGTAGAAAACAATTTTCCATAATACTGTTTTTTAGGTACAGATCCATTTAAAGAGCTTATTTGCATAACAAACTATATTTTTAAAACGCCTAACAGCCTTTTAATATCGGCCGAAGCTCCGAAGAAAAGATCTTTTTCCAATTTATATCCCTGATTCAATACTAGCTTCCATAAAATTAATATGTTTATTTTAAACAATACCGTATCGTATCCTGCTTATATTATATGATCTATACGAAACATTTGAAAGTTCCGTGATGCTTGGAATCTGCTGTAAAATATCACGATAATTTCGATCGATAGCCGATATTTATTGCCAAATTATCGACTATCCGACGCCAACAGTTGATTTGCTGAAATACAAACAAAGAACAATTTATAAGGCTTCAGAGGGACAGGTTTTGATTATATTAATTTCACGCTCATATATTATATTTTTTTGTGTTATTCTTTAAATAAGATCTGTCCTGAGTTAGACAGTTATTTAATATTATGAAAACTTCGATATGTTTTTGCGATGACAATTAGGATTTCTGTGTGATTGTTGCAATAAACACGTGATATGTTAGATGTATATTAGAGTGATCATGAAAGGCAAAAAACCCGATAATTAAATGTTTCTTCGCGAAAATCGTGTAAAAAAGGGAGTACGCAGCTTTTTCGAATGGGATCCAAAGTATTTAAATTTTGATTAAATAATGCAAAATGCGTTTAAATAATAATTTGTGCATGTGACGAACAGGAAAACTTCACAAATCCAACTTTGTTCCATTTTAAGGCGAAATTTTGCGCCATAATATTGAATGTGTGGTCGACTTTAGATTCCGAAATGGTTTTCAAAAGCTTTATAGGAGGATGGCAACGACCCCCTGACAATTTTCAACATCTCGAGTTTAAGCACGAAAATTGTATAACATTCTTAGTTACGCAAATAGAAAAACTTTAAAATAGCGAATACATTGGGTACCTCAAAATAAAATGCCAAAAACTTTGAGTAGCAGATCCAGCTAAACTTAAAATGTGTTTTAGCTTTTATAATAATATGTGAATATTATAATAATTTGTAAAAATGTAAAATTAGATTAAAGGAAAAAGCCAGAAAGTAATCTGTTAAGTGAAATTCAAAAAATGCCAAGTATCTAAAAATTTCTACTCAAATACACATTTACAAAATATTGTAAATAAAATTAGAAATAGAACAATAAATAGACTCCGTGTTTTATTGATCAGCGCTAGCTCCAATAGACAACTGACCATGTGCCTGTAAGTTCCTTCATTAAACACACATTTAGAAAAGGAAGTAAATAAAAGCGAATTAAAAAGGTGACATAATTCCAAAAAAAAAAAAAAAACTGTTTCTAAAAAGTGGGAATATAGGAAAATAAATAGATTCCGTGTTTTATGGATCAAACACACATTTATAAAAGGAAGTAAATAAAAGCGAATTAAAAAGGTGCCATAACATTATTCCTTAAAAGACATAGAACTCTGTGAACATGATGATTAGGACAATAATAGATAAATAGATTCCGTATTTTAATGATCAGCTCCAACAGACAACTGTAAGTTCCTTTTTGGAACAGCGGACTATACCCTTCGGTTCAGAGTATATAACACAATATTGGAGCATCTGGCGCTTCCCCAGTAGTGGCGATCCCAGTATCAACTGAGGCCAATCCATAGTTCTGTGTCTGCCACAGTGGTTGAGACACACTCGCATACGCAAAAAATAGTTGTGCCCGTGCTCTGAATTTTTATGAAAGACGATTGAGCGCGCTATTGCGATCAAGACGATGAAGAAGAAGAACCCCACAAAAACCAGGCCAACTGCGTCAAGCGCAAACACAACTGCCGCCGCCACTCTGATTGATGGGGAGTCAAGTGGAGACAACTTGTAGCTGGCATGGAGCGCAACAAATTAAGCATCTTGTGTGGTCTGCTCAATGCGGTAGATCGCGGGCACCACGGACGCCACCTGGCCGGGCGGGCGGGCAAAAAGTCATGCCAGTCGATGCCAAATTCAGTTCACAAAACGAGCCACCGCCACCACCAGCCCGCCAACCACCGGCCCATCCCTGACAACAGGCGCGCCTGATGCTGCGTTGGCTGCCCCAGCCAAGTGACATTTTATTGGCAACGGCAAGTTGTTAAGAGGCATTCCTCTTCTTCTTCTTTTTCTTCTTCTTCTTCTTGTTCTCTCACCGCGTTCTTGGCACCGTTCATGCTGAGCTCGTGTGCAACATTAGTTCTTGCTATTTAGAGGCATGAAAGCTGTGGCAGGTCCACCTCACATGGATAATTGACAACAGTTAATTCCATTGAGTGTGTGCCGATATGTCGCAAATTTAATTATTGTTGCAGCCAGCCGACCAGCCGACCAGTCCGCACTAACTGTGGGTGGCACTCAACAATGGCATGCGATTAATTAGGCGAAATCCAAATTAATTCGTATGTGCAAGTACTATATGAGTATAACTCTATATAAAACTGTTTTCGCTGACTGGCTAATGCCAGGAAGCTTAAATGGAAATTGCCCCACAAATGAATAATGCAGTGGAAGAGTGAAACGGAAAAGGATTTGTCTTTTTATCTGACGCTAAAAAAAACCCTTCATAAACACTTAAGCATCCTTGAAAACCATAAATAAAGCTGTCCTCGGCCCTCAAAATGCTGTAAAACTGCCCCCTTTAAACACTTTTAAATTAACATATAATTTTTAAAACTTTATGGAAGCACTATTAGTGGTAAAAATAAATAAAAATAAGAAGCATTTTTGATAAAAATGTAAGTAGCGCAGTAGCTAACCAGCCATAAAAGTTAACTAAATAACTAAGCCGAATAAAAATGTTGCCTTAGCTCTCGACTATGGATTTATTTTTTTATATTTAAATTTTATGTTATATTTATAACTTAAATTAAACTCAAACGTAAATACAAATACAACTTAAACTAGGTGTTCAGTCTTAATTAAAATTTAACATTTATAATTTATATAAATCTGTTGGGAAGGTCTACTATGGAGATAGAATCGATTTTATGTTTATAAATACTTTAAATCCTGATCGAATTTCAACAAGTAAAGTTTTATCAAAAAAAAAAAAACCGATTTCAGATCTAGGTCAGTGAATCCGTTTCAACAAAAAAAAAACCGACTTCAGATGTAGGTCAGTGAATCCTTTTTTGTCATTTAAAGTGACTTAATCTTTCGAGGATGATTCTGAAGTAACAGCATCTATTTGGACTAAATGAGGTATATTTAAGGTAGTTTTTGCATGGATGTCATTGTCAGAACTGGACCAAATGGAAATGGAACTATTCGGAAAGCATCAGCTTTCAAAAAGAAAAAGAATTATCGAAATCGGTTCAGCTGAGGTAACAAACATTAAAAAAAATACACAAGAATTGATAACCTCCTCTTTTTTTGAAGTCGGTTAAAAATAAAATACTAACTTTTGTAGTTAAGGTACATATTAATTTAATTAAATAAATTAGAATTAGTCGAATGTGCTGAGGTAACAAACATTAAATAAAAAACAGAAGAATTGGTAACCTCCTCCTTTTTTGAAGTCGGTTAAAAATAAAATACTAATTTTTGTAGTCAAGCTACATATTAATTTAATAAAATAAATTAGAATTAGTCGAATGTGCTGAGGTAACAAACATTAAATAAAAAACAGAAGAATTGATAACCTCCTCCTTTTTTGAAGTCGGTTAAAAATACTAATTTTTGTAGTTAAGCTATACATATTAGTTAATTTAAATAAATAAGAAAGTTCACTTTTCATATCATTTATTCATAAGAATCTTAAGATGATTTAAAAAGTTTTTAAAAAAACTTAATTAAGTAGCGGCCTCTTAATCAAAAAAAGATAGTGTTCTGTCGCTGCTCGTTTTTTATAATACATTTCGAAAATATGAAATATAATTGTTTAATTAATGCTACCATGCACAAATAAAATCATAATAAAAACCACTGAATTGTTCTTATTTTCCCAAAAAGAAAACATTTGTTGTTTTTGTTAAATGCGAAACGAATTCGATGTTGAATATCTGCTTTCAGTGGCAAACGTTTAAAACGAAATATCGGGACAGGAGAAGCTGTCCTGTTCTGTCCTGTCCTGGCCCAGCACTTAATTCCATTCATCACCATCAGCTGCAGTAGGCAGTTCTGGAATAAGACATCTCTTTCCCAGGCTCCGGCGAGCGGAATAAGAACAAAAATGAAATGCACAGCAAACTAAGAGAAACAAACACATTAGCCAAAGGATGGGGAGCGATAAAAAAGTAAATCAACAAACTGTCGACAACATCGGGACGAGGATACTGACAAATTTTTGCCATTTCAGCTGAGGCGGACCGTTGCACAGATGGACATTGGCGCAGGGACAGACGTTGGTAGCCAGAAAAAAACCAAAAAAACAAACAGTTTGATTGCACAAAAAATGGAGGAGAGAGAGAGAAAAACAAAAAGTATGTCTCGCAGAGTCGGAAGCGGAAGCAGCATTTTGCGTCCGTGATGAGCTGATGACGAGCTAAGTGGAGTTGAATGTGTCGAGAAGGGGATATGGGCTCTGGACGGAGGACGGAGGACGTCCGATGGCGGACTGTGGCAGCTCAGGCAGAGGCAGTGCACTTCACTTACTGTTGACTTAAATCGTTTAGGTAAAGTTAAACAACTTGTTCCGTTAATTGTTAAACAATGCACACGGACGACACAGCGATGGCGCAATAAATCCAAATGCTGATGAAGACCGACTGCTGCTCGAATAATTGATGTAAGAACACAGAGACGTTTATTCTAACGAGCTGAGTTGCCTCGGTGCCTTCAGAGGAAGAGTCAACAAATCGAAAAAGAGCAATAATCTCTAAATTCTGCTGTGCCCCTTTAAGCCAGTTTTGGTTAAAGTACTATCTACGTATGTGATCAG